ACTTGTCATACTTTAATTTATATTCAGTCTAAAGTCATAAAGTATTATTAAGACTTTGAATTGTTATTAAGACATTGGAAGTTTCCCTTTGAATATTTCTTAAATTTTATAAATATCTTTGAGTATTTCGAAAGCTCCATTAAAACGGTAACAAAATTTTGGTGCCCTCTCTGTGGATCAAAATCTCAAAAATATTATTTTGAAAACACTATTAGAACAATTATTAAATTCCTTGTGTGGATTGAAATTTTGAAACATTATAAAGTTCCGTTAGAAAAGAACAATTATTAGTAAAAGAATTCTCTATGGATTAAAATCTCAAAAGTGTTATAAAGCACTATTATAAAAGAACACTGAGTGAAAAAAACATTAAATTCATGAGATTAAAGGATATAGAGTAAAATATTTAAGTGGCATAAAAGAATTTTTGATCAAATATTTACCAAATAAATTCTTTGTAGATGAACAATTATTAACTCAAACTGGATCCAACAAAATCTATTTCTATTGAAATTAATAGATAATTTGAAGCTTTAAAAGTAGATTTGAAAGAAAATCTTACCAAAACACAACTTAAAGAAATCAAAGACCAACTTGTGAATATCTTTAATACAATCTATATGGGAAATATAAATGTTGAATCAATAAATCAACTAAGAGATACATTAGAATGATATTCTTAACAAAGTGAACAAGAAATTCAAATATATTTATACAATCTTCAACAAAAAGCTACAGATTTCTTTGTACAAAGATTAACTTATTATAAACAACAAAAAATTAGCTAAATTACAAAAACCAGAAAATCGAATAGTAATTCAAGATAACTCACCTTTGTCAATACCAGAAGAAAATAATGAAGAATCAGAAGAAGAACAAGAAGAAGAGTCAGAAGAAGAATAAAAAGAAGAGATAATAGACAATGCTCAATTTAATAATATGATTACTAATCTTCATCAATTGGTAACTGTTATTGATAATAATCAAGGAAGAGAAGAAGCAAAATTCGCAAAAATTATTGACTTCTATAGTGACACTCAAGATCCTATTGGATGATTCCAAGACTTTGAAAATGCAAGTCGAGCTAATAATATATCTGATCTCAGAAAGCAACAAATTATTGGCGCATATTTGAAAGGATCTGCTGGAACATGATTAGCTAGCAAAAGAGTCTTAGTAAAATATTGGCCAATCCAATGGAATCCAAATGATCCTACCAGTCTACTAGATTTAGCAGTTTCCTTTATCTATCAATTCAAACAAAAATTTAAAATTATTGATAAAGTATATGAATGACAACAATAATTAAACCAATGAAAGCAATTACCAACTGAAACAGTAGAACAATATTCTGCTACTATAAGAGAATTATTTCACTATATTGATTCAGATAATGGATATTCAGAATATCTGAAAGTAATGATATTTATTAAAGAATTAAAGCCAGAAATAAAATTCTTTATTAGTTCAACTCGACCAGCTATTCTAGATGATGCTATTCATACTGTTCAATTATATGGATCAAGCTATTAATAATTTACTGATTTAAATAATATCAATATGATATTAACAACAAGTCTATTAAATGTTCCAGTAATTCAACAGCCAATAGAGAATAGTTTAAACCAATTCTCGCAACAACTTGCAGCTTTTGCAACAAAATTAGAAAATTTGACAATTTCTAATAATAACCAAAATCAAAATCACCAAAATAACAAATATAATAATAATAATAATAAAAATTATTCAAATAACCAACGAAGAAATAATTATAATAATAATTATAATAATAACAATAATAATAATAACTTACCTATTACTTGTTATAACTGTGATAAAATTGGACACATTGCAGCAAAATGCTTTAGCAAAAAAGATAATAATTATAATTAGCGCAATAATAATTATAACAACAATCGATATTCAAATAGAGATAATAATAATAATAATAATCAACAAGGCAATAATAATTGAAATAATAATTAAAATAACAATCAACAAAAGGTCTTTCTGAATACTGAACAGCCTTTAAACTCCTAAATGCACTTTCAGAAAATGAACGTGCATCAGCAAATAAAAACTCTTTAAACAAACAATTTTTAAAACAATTATTGATTAATAATGAACAGGAAAATAATTATAAAATACCTGTTGATGCTTTGCACTGTAATGACAAAGTAGGAAATAAAAATATTATAATCATAATTGATAGTAGAACTGTTAATAATATTATATTTAAACAAAATCAATTGGAAGATTCAAAAGCCAAGCAACATCAATTTAATTGGAATTAATGAAAATAAAGAACGATCACTTGGAGAAGTTATAGACTTACCAATAACTTTAGAAAATCAAAATCTGAATATTAATGCACTATTAACTGAAAAAGGAGATTATGATCTCTTATTAGAAAATATTTGGGCTCATAATCATTAAGCTATTGTAGATTGGAAATGAAAAATTCTCACCTTTGAAATTAATAATTAAAAGAAAGAAATACCAGTATCTTGTCTTAAGCGAAGAAATGTAATAGAGAAACAAAACAAAGAAATTCTATTCATTCAAAAAGATAGTATTGAAATCAAAGTTTATCTTGACAAACAAAAAGGCAAGGAACCTGAAAAAGCACATAATATTGATACTGGATTTGATCTAAGATTTCCAGAAGATAAATCATTAGAAGTGAAACCAGAAAAAATAGCCTTCATTGACAGTCATATTTAAAGATGGCGCAGCAAGTATGTGATACTTATTTGTCACCCGTTGCAACTCCAAAATTTTATAAGCTGCAACTAGTTGCAACTAGATGATGCTTTATTTGTCATTACGTTGCAACAGTTGCCATGTTATCTTTAGTCATATTGCAATAGAAATATCTGAAAATACTTATTGTCAACTTGTATCAAGATCATTTTTAGCAAAACAAGATATTAAAATAAAAGAAGAAATAATCGATGTTGGATACACCAGAAATATTGGGATAATACTTTACAATAATTCTGATCAAACATATATTATTCAATTAAATGAAAAGATCACTCAAGTCATATTCTTATCATTAATAAAGATCTCAAATTTAAAAATTGTTAATACTCGAGAAGAATTAGAAAATTCAGAAAGAGATCAACAAGGA